AATATTTCCATATTCCATTATGGCTTCGGCCGCTTTAAATGATTCATTCTCTTCGTACAACTTATACAGGTAACAATTTTTATACAGGACATCTGTGAAAATCTGTTTAGTGATTTGAGGCAAAATTATTTGTGACATAAAAATAAATAGTCTAAACACCCTTAAGGACTTTCTAATGGCAATTACAGAGAAGGAATCATTTCACATGATAATAATGTTTCTTTCTGTTCGATTTGATTAGAAATTATTGACTCTGAGTAAATAAACAAATAACTTTTCGCTTACAAAGGGTAAATGTCATTTTATACTTTATTAATATTTTTTATTTTCAAAAAAAAAGAAAACCGAGGAAAATGTTCTGCACATTTTGCCTTAAGTCGTGCCGTGCCTATCATTTTCTCTGCATTTTCCATTTCAAATTTAAAGTGGAAATACAAACTTCAATCGATTTTCGCAAACATATGTATATGTAACTATATGGGTTCTTCTGTTTTGGTTTGTGTAAGCTTCACAAACATAGAAAGATTAACTTACCACTCCATTGCTCCTAATCCGAGCCAATTTTATAAATTGCAAAATCCCTTAATAATGCGAAAATATCAAAAGAAAAAAATGCTGAAATCCCTTTTACTTGCTAACAGTTTTATATTGAAATGAAATAAATGAAAAAATAAAAATAATAAAAAGATCGAAAAAAATTTTTAAAATAACAATACAAAGTCACATTCTCAAATGAAATTTAATAAAATGTCGCCACTCGCCATTTTGCGTCCTTGAAAAATGAATTTATGGTAAATATGTATCTATGGTATGCATTGCCATAGCGCCATATATACATATACATATATATGTTTCTACATATAAATTAAATTTAAAAAAATATATATTTGAGAAATCTAAGTATGACATCTGTCTGAGATTTCTCATATCAAACTGTAAACCAAAAAAGAAATCAACGGCAAAATAATCTCACTAATTTAAGGACATTGTTTTGATAGAAGAATAAAAAAAAAAATTTTCACTATTCAGAGTATTTAAGTATTAAAATAAAGCTTAGAGAAATCTTTTTATTTAGAACTCACAATAAATGTAGTCTAACAAATTTAAAACAGAATAAGTAGAGCCCGATTTATGCACAAAGATTTGCCCCACAAATCTTATGAACTTATAATAAAACGACATTAATATGCAGATCCACTATTTAAAATTCAACTACTGTCTAATAATTTGAATATGCCCTTTTAATATTGAAATTTAAGCAATAACATAACACCAGTCCTAAGAGTTTTATATTGAAATTTTGGCTTAGGTCAGATTGTAGTGGTGTCTTGATCTAAGCCTTTAATTCAGGCTTCTTACATGGTTAGTTTTGATTATACTGGAGGCTTGGTTCATCAAAGCCCACTTGCTCACAATTAGTGGCAAGTTGTGATAACACAACTCGTGATAACAACTTTCTCAGTGGCTTTGTTTACAGCTCAACCAGCGTCCAGCCAATAGTCACGCAGCATCGTCTGATACTGTACGGTAACCATGCCAGAAGCGTAAGTTTGACAGTCTATGTGCACTTTTTATTACGACTTTATAGTTGTAACATGCATCCATACAGGGGCAGCATATAGCATCTCAGACTTGGAAACTGAGGCTAAAAAACTCTAGCGGTATCCTATGAGGCCTCATATGTGTGGCATTAAACGGGATCATGTATTGTAAACACGTGAGGCTTTATCTCCCGTTTACTTTAGGTGTGTTTTGAAAATCAGCTAACTATATAACATATGGTGACACCGATATATGCAATTGAAGTCATTTCTGTTTAATAAAAAATCAGTAATGTATTGATTATGACCTTAAAGAAATTTCAATTTCATTTAAAGAGACTTTCTCAGTATTACGTTCATAGATTAGGTTCTAATGCCTCTACAAACAGAATTGTATTGAAATTTAATAATTAAAAAATAAAAATAAAGTGAATTTGTTAATAAAACTTTCACCGCAAAGTAACAAAAACTATGGTTTTGGCTCAGTTGGTTAAGGAGCGCTGACTCTGAGACTCAAATTTGATTGGGTACGAGTTCGAATCCTTTTACTTGCCGTTTAAAAAAGAATTATTTATGAATAATTAAATACAAGAATTAATTCCAAGACCACTGATGATGGGTATTTGGCAATACTCGAAACAGCTGTATGGTCAGCCAAAAATTCAATTAATTAAAATGTTATAAAATGAATTTTTGTTGTTATAGTTCACTACTGTTCGAAAAAACTTCTTTATTTAAAGATTCTTTAAAAAATTGTTGTAAATTTTTGTTTAAAATAAACAATTTTTTATTTTGCGTAAACAATATCGCGAGGCACTAAAAGCCATCGATAGCATTAATTTTTACAATACATTTTGCAATGCATAATTTCTTTACATTTACAAGAACTTACAATGACGCAGCCATTCTCTGTGAAAATCCGTGCTTCACATAGAATATGCTAAAGTATCTATTACAAAAGTGATAAAGGAACAATACGCCACGCAGCTCTTGCAGTACAAAGCTTACCGCGTATCGCATATAACATACAATAACAATGGCTTTGCCATTGTGAAACATTGATATATTGTTTTATTGACTTATTGATTTATTGATATATTAATGTATTGAAGTAACGACGTTCAGCATATTAACATACAAATTTTTTATAGCTGGCAACATCATTGCTTGGTTTATGCGACTACCTTTCTTCTGTGTGCTCCGTAAACCTCCATAAGTGGATCAGACTGACGGCACGTTATGTGTAACTTTTGTGTAATGCTGATGCTGACGGTGGATTCTGGTAATTTGATAGCACAATGTACAAATATCAACATAAACTGTTGCATTTAAAATCAAACAGTTAAGCGCGCTTAAATTCATAAAATTATTGTTGGCTTATAGCTTATTTGTATAAAGTGAACAGTGCACACAAATACAAACAAAGCACACAGCTAATAATACGCAGGATGGCACATACACAAGCACACCAAACACACCAAAGCTCGTATTCAGAACGTGGAGCGGTGTTGGAAAACGTAAAATGGCACGGGGAAAGTCAACGTGAAATGGACTCAAATACATTTGCATATAAAGAGCGATTATAAGCATCAAGCATCAAGTTAACTTTGAGATTTGAGCTGAGTTGATACTGAACTGAATGCAAATGAGTTCAGTTTCTTGCATACCACATGGCACACATACACATATATATACACATCCATATAGCATAAATGCCAGCCGCCCCTCAGTTTAGTGTGAATGAATTTCAATTACACAAACGCAAATGCCTCCCTCGACTAGACGGAAACGTTGCCAATGGCGTTAAGTGTGCTTAAAATTTATTTATTAAATTTATTTATTTCATTTCGTTTTACAAATACGAAAAAAAAATCCACAATCAAACCATCTTAAGTGCTTTAAAGTTTCGGTTCACGAAACAATGAAATCAATACCAAAACGTGTTCAAACACAAAATACAAAATCACAATAAAATAAATGAAAAATCAAAATTAGAAAAAAAAGACAAAACACTGAAAAGAAAAAAATTGGGTACTAAACTTGATGTGATATCATGTCACTGGTTCTTTGGTTCTTTAAGAAAATCTTTACGGAGCCTAAGCACATTTTTCTACTAAAGGAAAGCAAAATAAAATTTTATTTTCATTTAAAATAATCAATTTTTTTTAAAGTTATGTAAAGCTCATATTACACAGACAGTCATATGACAAATAGTCATGGCAATTTGAAAAAACTAACTAACTAACTAACTAAAACTAACAAAAAATCCTAGAGTATCGTTAAAATACCCTACCACATAATGCGCCGCCTATATTGCCCATGATCTTCAATAATGCATACAATCTCGGCTATTTTGCCCAGCAGTGGAAAGCCCAAATCAGACCCCAAATTCGACAGGCCCATATCCCTCCTTAACTCAGTAACCTTCAAACAGAACAAACTAATATCATTCGCTTCCGACAACCATGTTCTTCCAAACTTTCAATTAACTCCCACCAGATGAAATTAATCAAAATCTTCGAAAGAAGAGTTCTTCGTGATTGTGTTAATAGCCGCCAAAGTTACTCGAATAGACAAGTACCTCCTTTCACTTGCTTGAAGACACTTCTTACGTAGTCAGAATTCTCCCGACATGCTCAAGGTATACCCGTCGCAAACCTGGTTCTTGATGTCATGAGGCAAAAGCACCTCAATTGCTTACCCACTATCTTAAAGAAGAGCTTACAACCGAGACTTCCATAATCCCGAACGTAGAGTTTACTATTAGCTAGACCCCCTCGCAAGTTTGCGCAAACACGATCCCCTTCCCATCGCGTCTTACTGAATACTGAATATCTTCGGCTTTGATAAATTTGCTAAATACTAATCTAAATCTAAAAAAAATCTAAAGCTAACCAAAAAGAAGTCAAAACTTATAAAGCTGTGGGTTTAAGCTTGCCAGATATACGAAGTGTAATTGATTTCATTGTAGCGTTGCCCCCTGTTGTGAAGTCAGGTAATTATTATTTATATTCAGGTAATAATCTTATGTTCGATAGAAATCAATTGATAGATATTTTTTAATTGTTATTAAATATAATTTTATTATCATTAACCTATATTGATATATTATAGATTTTATTCCAATAATCTACATATAAAAATATTTATTTATTAAGTATTCTATGTAAATTATTATAAATTTATTTAATATTAACTGTTGTTCGGTCATATGACTCTAATATTAAAGAACTAAGAAAAGAAATTGGAAAAGAATTAATTGGATTTTTTGTCAATTTAAAGTGTATCAATAAAATCTTTTAAAGTTAGTTTAAAGGAGTCTCTAATTATTTTAAATTACTTTTATCATCAAATACAAGTAATCATTTATATAGTCATTTGGACTCTCCGCATACATGCTGGAAACTCTAAAGAAAATATATTAAATTTTTATTGTATTAAAAATGAAAAAATTAGTAAAAAATGTAGTAACCTACAATATCCATTATTTCCAATATGATCCACTCTATAGCCGAACATCATATAAACAACTTTACGAATTTCTGAATTTACATCTTTATATTCTCCTTTTAATTTATTTTATTTTATGATTGTTAGATTCTAGCTCTGTTCCTTATTAATTCGATTCCTTTATATATTCATGGTCATTTAATTTGTTTCATTCAGAAGGAATTGTGCACGTTTAAGGCTTTCAATCTATAAAAAATAAAAATTGTGAATAATTTGCTTCATAAGCTTTTCACAGATGGCGAAGGGTCTTTCTACTAGGGCCTTTCTAGTACACGCCAATAAGTCGGCTATCGTTACAATGTCACCAAAGTAAGAAAATTTGTTATCGCAAAAATTCACTTTATAATATTGGACGGATATTATGTTATATCTTAAAAATGAAGACCGATGTAGCGAATCTAAAACGACTATTTTCTCACATTAAGCCGCAAGAAATAATCCAATCTAAGTTATTTTATAAAAAAAGCATGTGTAAATTTCATATTCAGTGAAAATATTAATTTTTTTAAATATTATTCCAATGAATCAAATTAATATAAATTAGTGATCATATTTTGTAACAACAAATCATATTAACTTCACTCCTCATTGGCTTTCGTTTAACGTATGAAATCTATTTATTTTTGCTTTTAATGACCTCTGCTTGTAGTTCCTCAAATAATGATTTACATTCTTTTGAAGTAGTATTGTTCCCCAAGTGCAAGGCTTTGTAAACATTATGCAGCGTCTAAAAATTTTTACTAAAATCTTCATTAGTTTTTATATAAAACTATGTTTTAATCACCACTTTAAAAATGAATTTATTTTATTTTATTTTACTAACATATTTATTGCATTATTTACAATATTCAACTGTTCAATTAGAGTAATTAAAAGATTCAAACAATGTCCACACATTTAATCAACCTTCAATCTTGGTTAAGTTATAAAGCTACTTTGGGAGACAATATAAATGGATTTTATGGGACATTAGCTTTGACAAAAGTAAATCTTTAATAAAAATGTCAATGAATTGGTTAATGTAAAATATTTTTTGAAACAAAACAAAAGCATTTGCATTATTTGTGTTGTGAAGGCAATGTTTCTATTGAAATGATTGGGTGTTGCCATAGGAATTTTTCGAACAAAACCAAGGAAGCTGCAACCTTAACCCAAATAGCCTACAAACGGCAAAACAACAGAAAACACTTATAGTTCTTAAATCGAACTTTAAGTTATATTCCAAAGTAAATCAAACTAAGTGAAATATTCGTTTTAAATAAAATCTTTAAAATAAAACGGTAACAATGACTCACTCTATCCACTCTATTCATTCGATTCACTCAGTTGTTAGATTGAATTACTTAACGAAATAATAAATTAGAATTTATGGTGAAATCAAGAATGCCACTTACCCAATAAATACTGAGGTTTACTTCATTGATTGACGTCATAGTTCGGAAAACAGTTTTCTATCGGTAAAACTGTTGAGAAATCAAATTTTTTAATTGGTTTATTAAATGCATAATTTTTGCCAGACAGATCAAAACTTGGTTTAATATTATTATTCCATCTTGATGATTAATGAGTCTGACTAATGAATTTTTTTTAAATTTTGCTAACACTTAAGATGCGCGAAGCTTTTAAAAGTATTTAATGTAAAACAAGAAAATATTTAAATGTTTACACTTCGATTTAAAATATATTAAGAACTGTGAATGGAGCTCTTCAAAGAAACAAAAATATCTAGTTTTATAAAACAATCATATAAAGTTAATGTATTGTGTATTATGGCAGACCAGCTTAAATCAAAATTGTTTTATTACGGATCAGTATTTTCTCTTACTTTTTTAGAGTCTGCATTTCTTGATTTCTTATTTCCTATTTTGAGTTGTCAATTTACTATACGATGTAAAGTATATTTATATAAATAAACTCTATTGTATATAAGTAGGCGTGCATATTTCTAAAAATTTCAAATATTTAACTTTTCACAAATTTTAACTACAGTCGGTTTAAAAATTTATAAAGAAAATTCTTCGTATATATTTTTGGTATTAAGGGTTTCTAAATTTTGCAAACAAAATGTCTGGCAAACTTTTAATAAATTTTCTTAGAACCTTAGGAAGCCCAGCAGTACAGGTACGTTCCATGTTCTCTGACGGACTAATGGACGCCAACGCCTACAAGAGGGTTCTTATCAATAAGAAACCAATCGAACCCACGCCCACGGTTTCGGTTCACGGAAGTAAAAGCTGTTCACAAAAGTTCAGCAAATCGAAAGAAAATTTTTCTAGTAAAAATTGTACAGGAAATTCATCAAATGGTAGCGAATTTAAAAATATCGATGAACGAATGAACTTTGTGCAAGATGCATATAAAAATTCTGAGAAAAAGTTGATTGGCTTACGACCAGGTCCTTATACCCATGCGAGACGCAAACAGTTAGACGTTGAAGAAAACTTCAAAACATACGAGCATTATCCACGTCTTGATAATGTTTTCTATAAGAAAGATTCACCGAGTTCTAAATCAGCTGTTGCGCAATTACTTGCAGAAAGGAAGAAAGCTACACACTCTTCCGATTCAAAGAAAAGCTTCATAACTCAACCAAAACGTCGTTATTAGTATGTATGCTTATTCGTAATTGTTATTGAACTAGTTTTATAAAATTATTAAAATATTATAAATTCCTACTTAATAAGAGATATAAAATTAGATAATTATATTATAATATTTCGATTAACTCGATAATATTTTCTAATGCATGTTTATTTAATTTTATATTGATGACATTGAGTTATATTATCTTGCTTTAGAAATTATATTGTTGATTTTTTATTTTTCAAGGTCCGTCAGACGTATGATAACCAACCTATGCTGGAGACCAATTCACAACTGCTTTATGAACCAGACATTTTTGTTTTTTTTTTTGGTAAATATAACAGAAACAATAAAATATTTCGGCACTACAGAAAAGTCTTTTATTTTAAAATTTAATTGTTTAGATTACAATTAGAAATAAATAAATATTATTAAATGAATATTTTTCAATAAATGATGGAAAACATCAAAATGAACTAGCTTTGCATATGTCATTGAACTATTTTATTTAAAATGGTTATGGTTCATTTCAAACGTATAGTAGGATATCATGGTAGTGTAGTACTAGTCTTCCATCGCTCGTTAATGATTCAAAACTAACTTGTTTATTATAAAAATTGGTCATTTTACATATATATTACCGAAAAGAAGATCGGTTGTCTCAATCTCAAGAGTTTCGACTAATTTCAAACTAGTGTGTGCGCACCAGTTGGTGGACATTGTGTTATTTAACAGTGATTAAAGGACCGCTGTTTCCTCACTAGTACTAGGTTAAGGCTAGTCGAAATTTATACATACCGAGATGGGATATTAAGACTTTGTTTCTTTTATTTTAGTTTGTGATGAACTTTTATCTATTAGGTTAAAATCTAAGCTATTTGTGTGGATATTGGTGTTTAAAATAATGAAATTTTGTAGATATTAGTATAAAAGGGTTCATTACTTATGCTTCGCAGTGTTTTTGGTACGATTCGAAGAAACCATATTTCATCATTTCCTGTAATGATTTATTGTGAGTCTGCATAGACTATATTATAGTTTAATGAAGGCTCTTTATTTTCTCATTGGTTAAGGTCTTCGAGATAACAACCACTGCATTCGTTTCGTATTTATGCATTTTGGTTATGGGAATAGGCCACCAAGGTTATGTGACTTGACAACGCAATGGATATATAAAAAATCATGTTAAAGGACCGATTTTTAAGCTCTTAAAACTTTGAATACGATTATTTGTCACTTTAGAACCCTTTATATGCTCTCAAGTCATAAAAGATTACCTTAAAAGTACATATTTTTGAATAAAATTTTTTTTTTTAATTTTTTATATATTTTTGTTTTTAGAACCACAGAATGGATAACTCTATAAGTAACGTTTTACTAGAACATAGTTTTGAATAAATTTTAATTAACTTAATTCTCAAATAATTAATTAAATTAAAGGTCCTTGTATATTAGAATATGGTTTTTAATTTTTTTAAATATGCATTTATGATATTCATTTAATAAGAAATAAATATACTTATATTCAAAGTTTGTTCCGTTTCCATAGTCGTTGTATATAATAAGTTGTATATCGGAATAGAGTGTTTGGGACATATTTCTTCAAAAAAACATATATACTTATTATATTGATATATATGTATATACATATATACATATGTGTATGTGTAATTCACTAAATTCATATATTAGTATCCTTCAATTCCTTAAAAATTTCTAATAAAAATTCTCTTATGCTGTATGATTTAATAAGTTCAATTAAAAATTAAACTTAATAACTCAAAATGATATTGGTATCGCATATTTATAATAAAATCTTGGGATTCTACTGAATCACATCCCATCTATACGAAATAGGTTAACCGAATTAAAAAAATCGTTGCGCAAATTCATCACATTTTTTTGGTTTCTGTTGTGTTTTGACTCTAAACTTTTTGCTTTCATTTAGTCAAACTTATCTGATATGATAAAATATTTTAAAGGAATCATTTTAGTCTCTCATTAATTTTAATTTCTATTATTATTGTGAAGGACAAAATATATAGTGATGTTAAAGACATGAATACCCATGAATACCCGTCGACTTCTTAGCGAAGTGATTCATGAAGGTATGGATTAAGTTGAAGTACACCATCATATTAGCAGACATGATTCTGTTAAGGAACTGTAGATCAACTTTTCATTCAGTTCTTTTCATTCAGTTAACAGTCTATACGTCTCTAGATCTTTCTTAACTGTTGTGTTCTAGCTTCTCGATAAACAAACTCTTTGTGCGCTTTCTTGATTACTTAACTGTAGAAAGTAATTTGAGTAATTCTGCTTAAGACATTAGGGGTATTCACGATCTCGGCAATCGAGTGACATACCGTCAAAGCAAAACGGCTAAAACAATATATACCTATGTTATTAAGTACATGTCTTTAATTGTTGACACTTTACAACATTATATCTGTAACACGATCTTGAATACAGCTAATATCTTGAGTTGTTAAATGTTATTTAGTCTGATATAACGATTTGGGCTGTCTTAAAACGATCATTTTTTTTAATTTTTAATACACAAAAAGTTAAATCTTAAGTATAGAAATATAATATATGAGCATATTAATTGAAAAATACTGCCAACAAGTATTGCTCCCATAATTTCTAACATTTTCACTCCCGTTTGTTGAGTATGTGGAAGTACAGGCAACAAAGTTCCCAGTTCGTTAAAATTCATTTCTTTTGATATATTTTAATATTTCTTACAAACTTAATGTCAAACGTACCGTACACGTTTTGGACCTTTATTAAAATCAACATATAGTCAATATCTTGTACATGTAGAATTCGATTTCCACATCACTAGCAGGACACATGAAAAACTTTCTGCCATGAGCTAATTTCGATACATCACTCAGGACATTAATGTCAACTTGATTTCATTTATCACCAGCGCTACCATGCCATCAATGCCGCTTGTGATATACTGAAATGTGTCGATGATTTTACAGTTTTTTGCATCTCATGCAAGGGCATGAGATATGGTTTCTCCCATATGTCCTCGCACAAATGTTTTTACATTAATTTTTTTAAAGCTTTTCCCTTCATACATACATGTATATTTGTATCGATGAATGTTTAAGTATAAAATGTTTTTCATATTATTGAATTAATATGCTTTGAGTAATGATACATGTACATATATCAGTATTTATGTAGGATTCATCCGCAGCTGTAAGGTGACAAAGCTCAAATTTCATAGCTATTAGCTTGAATTTCCAAATATTTATTTCTGGTGATTTTATTTTCTAGTTCGTACAAGGCTTTGAGTTTATGCATATTTTCATATTAAAATTGAAAAACACCGTGTTTGGGGCTCGGATTTGATCCTCCACTGCTCATTTCATTTCATTTCATTTCAGTTGAAATTAATTAGCTTTTAATGTTTGTCTGCTGCTCCTGTTCAAATACTGAAACTGCAAATTTGCATTACTAAATGTATGCCATGTATGGCAAACAGCATTGCCTCAGACATCGGATATGTATTTATGGTGTTTATGTACAGGATAATAAATTTTCTATTATAAATGCATATTTAATTAATTAAGCTTGCTAACGCACACAAAATATTTTGTATCATGAAAGGATCAAATTGGCTTATTTCACCAAAGTCCTTTTTGTGGTTATGTCTTTCTAAGACTCTTGCTTATGTGTTTGTGTAAATATTTTATCAATTTTTAATTAAATATATTTTATTAATTTCATTTAGCTGGGAGAAGATTTTGCTTAATAGTCATTTTTTTTGACGAAAAAAAATTATTAAAAACTGAATTAAATTTCTAAATACGTAAAAAAACCAAAATTATTCCAAAATACTTTTTAAAATATAGATTCGTTTTTATGGATATAATTTAATTAAAATTTCGTTACTTTGAAAAAACTGATTTATTCATATGCATATATATGCAGGGTTAAGTGATTAAAGTGACACCTATTCAACCGACCACATCTTTTTTGTGTGAAATTATTTTTTATTTTTTAAATCTCACAAACTTGTGATAATAATCAAAATTTCAGTATCCATTCACTCTATTTTTTTTTTTTATTTTCAAAATAAGTGGATAAGTAGCGAAGTCTGAGTCTTGCAAGACTATCACAGTGACACAATATGTGTTCTGCTGTTTCCTCTTCTTCGTAACAAAGTCTACAGCTATCGTCTCCAGTAATACCTAGATCCAATAAATGTTTTTTAACTCCAGTGTCCAGTTAGAAAACCTGTGACACGTCGGATGCCATTTCTGTTCAGCATAAGTAACTCCCTAGTTGTGGCTTTTGATCGAAACGGCATGGATTCTTTTGCTCCTTAGCAACCTGAACGCCGAAGACTCCTCTTTGGCGCCCATGTTGATCGTAAGCTTAGCGCGGACGCAGTGGCGTAACTACAGGGAAGCGACTGGAAGCAACGCTTTCGGGCCCCCGAACTTAGGGGGCCCCATTATAAATTTATGCATTCATTATTAACATTAAAGAAATTACCAAAACAGGACAATTTTCTTAAAATAAATGAAAACAAAACTGGAGGAGTAAACGATTTAAATGATGCCTTTGCTAATTGTGATACACAGAATAAATTGACACATTGTTTAGATACTGAAACAGACTTCAAACAGACGATACGAAAATCTTCACAAGCCTAATATACCTTTCTTACACTTTTTCGTGTAAAGGGTATAAAAAGATATTAGTAGGAGCTCCTTAATTATAATTCGCTTATGGGCCTAAAAAATGTAGTTACGCCACTGCGCGGACGTTCCGTCAACATGAACAAGTCCACTGCACAGAACTCCCGGTATATCCCACAATCAAACCTCACAGAAGCGTGATTACAGAAGATGCCAACCTTCAAGTCCATTAACTCTAGCTCGATATGGCCACCTTTTGTCTTAAAATTAGTTGTATACTTCATGAATGTGATATTCCGGTATTTTGGCCCTTTCTTACACAATGGCTTTCTTCAGGGCATCCATACTTGCATATTTATTAGTTCTCACCTTGCTCTCTAAAATTGCTGAGACAGAATAGTCCATAGGACTTGTATCTGGCGAATTCGAAAGTCATTGTGTAGACGAAATGAAGTGTGGGAAGTGATGTTTTAATCATTCGTGGTGAGATGGTGCTGAGTCTTGTTTGAACGTCCATGGTCTATGACCGAATTGTATGCATTCCTACGACTCTAAAACAACTTTCAAAACATTTTCCTGATAATAAGTTGCACTGACTTTGATACTAGACTCGATGAAAATGATTGGAGAGCATTCATCGGAGACATTCATAGCTACCAATACCATTATATGAGATGGAAAATTACTTCGGGT